ATTCTGCATGAGCATTATGTCAAGTAGCAAATTGATATTTGTATAAGCTTTAGTCTGCCTGTTGCTTATTAATCCTATCTATCTCGTGGAGCGATTCTAGGCAATGGAAGCTGAGCTGAAAACAAATGCACCCAGAATCGAACAAATTCGACAGCAAGCAAAAGAAATCGCCTTAAAACGTGTCAGCGATAGTGACGATATCATGGCAAGGTAAGTCGCGCATTAACTGCTGTTCCCATTTTTGTTCCTTTAGACATATGAATCTTGAATGATCATCGTACATTCAGTTGTTTCTGATGTCGATGTTTTGAAATAACGAGCATCAGTCAATAGTGGTTAATGCGTAATAAGCGTGATAGAGCTGTGGATTAAGAAATATTAAGTGTGTTGTTTAGGTCAAATGCGTTACTAAAGAAATGGAACGAGCTGGTAGCCATGTCACAGGAACAGAGTAATGCTCTAGAAGAGGCGCGAGATTTGTTGAATTTCAATCAGCTTGTCGAACGGGTTCTTCAGTGGATTAAGGTTGCTCAATCGCTTGCAAATCTGCACTTTTTGCTCACNTTCAAGTCAGGTCAAAATTAATTTGTAATTTTGCCCTTCCAGTTTATTCGCCCATATTGTCTATATTTCGTAAGTGAATTATTTTTTTTCGGGGTCTCATATGTATTGTTTTACGATGGCATTGCACTACGTACCATCAGTAGTGGTTGTAGTCCAGTGTGTCACGTTTGGGTGAGATAAAATGTTCAGATAACAAATTCTCGATATAATGGATGCATGCAAAGCGCTCACTGCTAAAACTTTCGATAAGACTCTGGAAATGGGACACTAATATCGTTATGTTGATCTGATTTGTGGGAGTTGCTTATTTTTGAAGTAGCACCTCAAAAGTAAATCGTATCTGCTCTTGAACAGTTACAATTGATCTAATGACTTGACTACTTCGAGTAAAGTAGTGCATCTCTAACATTGTCGTGCTTGGGTTATCACTAATTCACTCAACTAATCTATTGAATTTAATGAAATGTTTCCAATAGTTCTCTTAGACAGTTGATGAACTGTTCAGGAGAAGGAGCTTATGGTGACAGCAGCGGATATGGGTCGTGATATGGAGCATTGTCAGTTGTTATTGGAGAAACTGGACGGCACTAAATCGGATGCAAGTGTTGACGAATCATCAGTTGAGGCTGCCAATCAACTAGGTGCTAAACTGATCGCACAGAGACGTTCATCGCAGAGCGCTGTGCAACAACAACTTCTCGAAATGAACAACGCGTACGGAATCACTGTCATTATCACTTTGTAAAAACTAGATTAGAGGCACATAAACGAGCACATGATTTCTGATTGAAAACTAGAAATCACTGACGTGGATTGTCACTAATATATTTCTAAAGTAATAAAAACGCCGTTGTTCGCTAAATCATGTTCCATTTTCCGAAATCACTCACGTCGACCTGGAAGCGAGCGATTTCATAGCTTTTTCGAGGTTTTTGAGTGAGTTGTTTGAAATTCAGGTGGAAAGCACTTCAAGGGAAGTTAGCAGCGTATCGCTCGCAGTTACACGCAGCACTGGAAGTGCATGCATTCAACCGTGATGTGGACGATACCTGTGATCGTATTCAAGAGAAAGTTCCACTGGTATCAATCGATGATTTGGGCAAAGACTTGGCTACAGTTGAAACGTTGATTCGAAAACAAGAGGCGGTCGAAAGAGACATGGGAGTGATTCGTGAGAAACTTAAGGTTAGTTGATTAATTTCGCAACAATATTCATAATCCTATCGCGGTCTATTCAGCAATCTGTAGTGATCATACTCTGCTGGTTTACCGATATGTTAGGGTTGTACGAGTGTTTGCGAAAGACTCATGATTCGATCAGCTGCAAGGCGATTTTTGTTTAAGGAGCATGACGATGAAGCGCAGAAATTACTCAGCAAAAATCCTCCGCTGCGGGAGTCGATTTTCGATTCGCTGAGAAAACTGGAGATATCATGGCACAAACTTGCCGATGTCGCACTCACCAGGTTACGCTTCTTCTTTTTTTCTCATTTCATTGTGTTTCTTTAACGGCCGAAATTATTCTCAGTTGACAATGAACACAAATATATCGGTGTTCCTGACTATAATTTGGTCTTTTTTGGAAAGTTTCAGTTGATTTTTGAATGACGAGTTGACTTATAGAGGTAACCGTCTGATGGCTGCGGCTGAATTGCATCGTTTCTTCGACGCCGTACGAAAGGCTGAAGCGTGGGCTGTTGATACGATCAATCGACTTGGCACTCAGGACACACCACAATCGGCTGCTCAAGCGGAAGCGTTGATTGCAAAACATACTGAGAAATTGGCCGAAATTGACGGAAGACAAGTGCGTTTAGCGTTTTGGTGTATTGCACTCACTTTGGACGATTACGATCAGCTTATTTTAGGTCTATTCACATAACAGAATTCACTTTTGAGACGCCCTCGCAGTTAACTAACTCATCTGAGTAACAGTTGAATCGTAATGTGGAATGTGATTTATTTCAGCGAGAAATGTCAGAACTACGTGAATGGGGCGCAAAGTTGTCAGTTGATCAACCGGACCATAAAGGTGAAATTCAGAGGGCGTTGAAACGTCTTCAAAATCTGCAACATCAACTGAGACAAGCTTGGGAGGCGAAGAATCAGGCACTCGGTCGTGGACGTAATCATCAACTCTTCAACGATCAAGCAGCTCGAGTCGAAGAATGGCTTGTCGCCAAGGAGGCCTTCATTAACCAGGTAGCTCGTGTGAGATAATGAGCGTTTCAGGTTGTGCTCAAGGTTTTGTTATTCAAATGTTGTATTGGAGCGAATCATTCGTTGATGCAATTGCAGGCGGATATGGGCGAAAGTGTGGATGCGGTCGATTCTCTTCTCAAGAAACACGTTGACTTCCAGAAAACGCTGATTGCTCAGAGTGATAAGATTGATTCGTTGCGAAAGGCAGCCAACGAATTGATTGAGAAGGATCCCGATAATCGAGCTGATATTGAGCAGCGGTAAACTGTTGTTCGGTTTTTAGAATAGAATTCTTCGTTTGTTTGACTGAAACGAAACGAATAAATTTTCAATGAAATGCGAACATTCATAAAATTCGGCGTCTATGATTGTCCTTGTAAGCATTTCAAGGTTCCATTCTGATTACAGTGACAATGTGTAAGGTGAGTCTCTCAAGCGAATATCTTGCAGGCGTGACAGTGTTCTGACTCGTCACAGTGCTCTAATGGAGGCTTGCAAAAGACGTCATTCACTGCTCACTGAGAATCGTCATTTGCATGAATTTATTGACAGTTGCGGCGAACTGATGACTTGGATCAGTGCGAAAATTCAATTGGCCTACGACGAGAGCTTCCTTGATCAGACGAATCTGAGGTGAGAGTATTATGCTGATAAGATTTGCGAGCCTTTAGCTGCTTGATTGGGTGAAGATCTTCGAATGCTTTCTGTCAGTTTCATGATCGTCTCATTCATAATTCATTGTCGAATAGAAATTCAATTCGCGAAGTAATTTTGTTGATGGATTAGTATCTTTTCATTTACAGCCCATATCTGATTATCGATGCACTTTAGATCAAAACTTCAAAAGCATTTGGAATTCGAAGCAGAGCTGGACGCTAACGAAGATCGTGTCAAATCAACAATCGCAACGGGCCAAAAATTGATTCAAGAGAAACACTACGCTTCAGATAGTATAGCCCGACAAATTGATGAAGTAAATGGCGGCTGGCAGGAACTCCGAGGGTTCGCATTTATTCAGTATAATCATTGAAGTAGAAGACGAGTGAAGAAAATAAGAGAGCAATAGAATTGTCCTTTTAAGGAAGTCAGCATTGAAGAAACGTCGTTTGTGTGAAGCAAACGAAGCATATCAACTAAGTCGTCGTATCGAGGACTTGGATAGATGGTTGGAGCGAGTTGAGAACGATTTGACGAACGAGGATCACGGCATAGATTACATTTCGGTTCAAGCACTCATCAAGAAACAGGACGACCTTGATGCCGAGATTGCATCACGAGCTGACAGTGTTCGAGAGTGCATCAATAAAGCGAAAGAATTCCAGAATCAGGTACAATCAAGCAGCATTCTATTTTTGTTCGATTGTGTGGGCATTGACCTGAAATGTGTATAATATGAACGTGATGTTAAAACTCATAATTATATTATTTGTCCATTTGCATAGCGATTGCTGCATCTTTTTGTTGAGAATGGGGAAGTGTCGTCGTGACTGAGTGCCGTTGNAATTTCACTTTGGGAATAATTGATAGTCATGTCAAAGCTCTTCGTTGAAATGAATCCTTTAGCGCCAATGAGTTCATCCAATTGTGTTTGTTTTATTTCCCATTCCAATTGAATAGGGAAGAACGGTTGTTGATGACTGCTTGTAGGGTTATGCAAATGCAGAAGAATCACTGGAAATGGCCGAGGCAGTAGAGCAGCGTTACAAGGGTTTGAAAGAACCTTGTCAGATTCGTCGTGATAATCTTCGCGAGGCGCTCGCCTTCTACGAATGGGTGTCTGAAGCCGAAGAACAAGTGGAATGGATTGGTGATAAACTGCGTCAAGCGCATAGCACTGACTATGGTGATACGTTGCACTCCGTTCAGTCGCTCACCAAAAAGCATGCTCTGCTTGAGGAGGAAGTGAATGGACGTCAAGTTCGTTGTGCCATCTTTTTCAGCAAGCGCATACATTATTCATTCATGAGCTTGAGCACAGAAAATTTACATAGAGAATCTGATAGTTGTGAATAGAATTTAATAGCTGAATTATTCAACTTCTCTTAGAGTNAGCAGCAGTTGCATCATATGATTGATCGCATATTCATTTCAGCAATCTGTTTCGAAAACCGAGCAAAAAGGCTTGGAGATGGTGAGGAACCATCATTTCGCAGCAAACGAAATCCAGAAAATGGTCGACGATCTCGCCTCATTGATTCTATCAATTAAGCAGAGTATTCAAGAGCGATCCCAAAAATTGGCCGATTCACTCAGCAGTCAAAAGGTGCGTCGATTCGATCATGGACGGTCGCCTTTGCTGCTGAATTTATCTGAATTTGTGAAGATCGATAATTCACTTGTTGAGTTGGTATCACGAGCAGTGATGACTGTACCGCACTCATCCGTACATTTCAGTATTATGCGGAAGCGAATGAAGCCGAGCAGTGGATGCGTGAACGACTACCGTTGGTGACGAATCATGATACGGGTAAAGATCAAGCCGCCGCCGAGAGTCATTTGAGACGCTTGACAACTCTTGAGAATGACGTCGATAAGTTCATCGCCGAAATTCAACGACTCCGAAAAGCAACCGAAGATATGCTGGCCAGAGAGCATTTCGATGCCACCAATGTTAGTCGATTGTGTGTTCGCGAGAATGTGATTAGTGTGAATGTGTTTGCTACGATTCAAAATTTGCTTAACACGAAGCACTGCTGCCATATAAGAGTGTTGTCAAGATTGGTATCGAATCAGTCTATTTGATCAGTTTCGAATGTAAAAAAACCGACTCTATGAACTAGTCTCATCTCACTACTACAATCATGACAATTGTTATGCTGCAGCTGACGGCAAAGCAAATCAAGCTGGAAAACCTGTATAAGGAGTTGAAAAATGAGTGTTCACGGCGTAGAACACAACTGGTGGATGCGAGTCGCTATCATGCGTTCGTTCGACAAACCGACGATTTGTCTCGTTGGTTGGGCGAGAAATTGGAAGTGACAAAGCAAGAGAATTATGGTGAGTCGAAGTACTAATTCACAGTGGAAATATCTGGTGACGACGTTCTCAGCTTTTCATTGCAACATTCCAGTTATCGTGCATTCAGTGCAGAGGGATTGCTTGCGGTGCTTTATGAAGTAATTGCGATTGTTTACTGACATTTTCGTCGCTTTCAGGTCGCGATCTGGAAGACTGTCAGAAGTTGGTGGCTGAATTCGATCAAGTGATGAGAGAATTGACGTCGGCCGGTGAACGAGTGGCTGCAGTTCAGAGGATGCAAGTGAGTAATGTTCTCTTATTTTTATCGTTTTGATAGTTTGAATCATGCATGTTATTTTTGAACTCATCAATCATAAATTGTCGATATTTTGTTCCCGTTTCGATATCTTGGAATTGGAATGAGATGTGATGTTGAAAAACTGTTTGAAAAACTGCTTATTGTCAGTCGAATAAAGGATCTTTTTTAAAGGAAGAGTTGCTTCGAAGTGGNTAAGCTGAAAAATAACGCATATTCCATTGCATCTTGCTAAATTTTTAACGTCATTTAATTACAGGTGCATAAGTTCGATCGTGATGCAGATGAGACACTGGGTTGGCTAGAAGAGAAAGAGGCTCATCAGGTGGCAATTGAAAGTGAGGATATCTCAAGTGCAGACTTGCCTGCATTGAAGCAATTCATGGTGAAACACGATGAATTCATGCACGGAGTTAATGCGGTCGAGAAACAGGTTCGTTCTGTCACTAATAACTGTTTCATAGAGTCATTAGTACAACAGTTTCTCTACTTATCACGACATCATCACGGGAAATGCCTTCATTTACTATGAGCGAAATTATGTTTAAATTTTACAGGTGGGTGATTTATGCCGAGAAGCCGAGCGACTGATCTCAACGTATCCGAATACAAAGGAACATGTCGAAGTGAGACGTATGGAGATGGAAGAGCAATTGAAAGATGTTTTGAACGCATCGAAAACGCATCTGGAACGTTTACAGCAAATGCAAAATCTTCAGTCATACTTCCAAGAGCATCGTGATCTTATCGCATGGATTCGCCGACTTCAACACACTATTACCAGGTATTCCTTCACAATGCTGGATTGCATTGTAAGACTTTCACCGGTGTACTTCATTGCCTCTTACACAGTGACACATTCATGTTTATTGATAGTATATCATAAATGAATTATAGTGAAACGCTTCCGAACAATGTAGAGGGTTGTGAAGCTTTGACGGGACGCCATAACGAATATCAGTATGAAATCAACGCTCGACGACCAGCCGTCGAGGAATTCTTACGTAAAGGCAAAAGTATGATCGCCTCACAGCACGTGCTCTCGCAGGAAATTTCAGCTAAGGTTGATGAGAGAACTATTTTGTTTGAAATAGGAAGAGTATAAATTCGATATCTCATGCAAGTGCATTTATAAATTTTAGCGTTTCGACAATAAGAACATATTGATTGGATTGTAGTTCTATGCAGATCTGATCGTCTAGAAATGCACTGATTATAGGTGAACCAACTGGCTTCTGCGTTCGATTTGCTTTGTGATATATGGAAAGAGCGATTATCGCTTTATGAGGAAAATATGGATGTGCAAAAGTGGAAGCGAGATGCGAACGTGTTGGATTCGTGGTTGAACGAGAAGGAAGAGATTCTGAAGGAGGACTGGCGAAAAGTGAGCAGTGTTGATGATGCTGACGATAAAATCCGGTTAGTTGTCTCTTCCGTATACTCGAAAGAAGCTTTTCGATTGAAACGCTCAGCGGAATTGCTTGTAGTTAGCAGTCCAGAAATCAAATATCTTGTTTGGTTTTTCAGCAATTTCGACGACTTTTTGGTAACGTTGGACGCTCAAGGTGAGAAATTCGAGGCGCTCAAGCGATTGACACTCATCGAAAGGGCTTATTCCAAGCAACGAAAAACCGAAGTTGAAAGGTTTTTTTTCGATGGATTGATTAATCGCTGAAATGATTCGAAGAAGTCTTCTCTTGTTTTGAGCTATTTTAATGACTCATTCAGAATGTTGATTTTATTTGAAATATTTTAATGAATCGGTGTTTTGGAATGTTATTAGTTTGCAATATCAGTTTAAAATGATGGTCGTGAAAATTTTATTGAAATTTGAGAATTCGGGCCGAGGAAGAGAAGCACGAACCAAAGAAGGAAGCAATCAAAACGTTCGAGAAACAGAACAAACTGCAAGATCGACGAAAGGAGCGTGAAAGGAGGATGACCCAAGAAGTGTCGCTGTTGAAACAGAGTCCATCGTTCAGCGAAGAATCGCCCCATTACGCCTCACAAACGTTACCGCATCCTCGTCGTGGCACTGAACCCGTGCCACGTTTGCGATCACCTTCATTTGAATCTAAGGTACATAAAGCTTTCGATAAGCTTCCAGGCCGTGTGAAGAAACCTTCCTCACATAAGTGTTCGATCAGCGTGATTGCGTTAAATGATTCTGTTCGTTTGAGTTTCGTAAAGCAAAGTTTTTAGGGAACGAGATGAAATTGAGATGGTGAGNAATGGTGTCACACCAGCAACAAAACCAATATCTGACATAGCGTCAGTGCTTGACACGAATCGTGCATCGCAAGTATCAGCAACGTTGATACCTGGCGATGAACTAACCCCGCAACCAATGCAACGCATCGGTTCAGCTCGTAAAACACCAACATTCACGACAAGACGATCGAATTCATTGAATCGTATCAAGTCATGGCAGGATTATGGATCTATTGATATGCATGGTCATTTGGATCGAAAACAAGACCTTCAGGTTAATGCGTAACACTCTCATCTCTCTTTGCTAGATACGATTGTTTTTTATGAATTCAAAACTGTTCTTTAAATCAGAATCATTCCCCGACTATGCCAACTGCAGAATTCGTGTAAACCAAAGCGTATCATTGTTAGGTTTTGCACCAGTGTTTATTCTGAGTACCTTATGGAACAGGAATCATTCGAGTGAAGTTGCTGATGTCTTAGTGATGCTGCTATAAAGTCCGTGGAATTTCTTTTGCAGAGTGGTGGCAAGAAGGCAACAATACGTACGTGGAAACGCTATTATACTATCCTGTGCGGTCAGTTGTTGTGTTTCTTCAAGGACGAAGAGTCTTTCATGGAGAATTCGGCAGCATCTGCACCAGTGAACATCTTGAGTGCGGAGTGCAATGCGTGCCCAGAGTATGTGAAAAAGAAGAATGCGTTCAGGTGAGAGCATAAATTCATTCGTTCGTGATCAATTGACAATACGTTCTACTATACATTGCGATTTTTCAAGATGTTGTGGTTGTGTTCATTCAACAGAACTGAAGAGAATCAATTCGAATTCGTTACAGGTTGAAAATACAAGACGGGTCAGAATACTTGTTTGCATGTAGCGACGAGAAGGTGATGTTGGAATGGGTTGCAAAAATTCAGTTCCACGCATCCTTAACTCCAGCACAACAATTGCTTAGTTTCGATAGGGTTTGTTTAGTTACTTTAGCATTATTGCTTCATCTGATCTTTTTATTCACTTCATTTGTTTTTGTGCCGTTTTACAGAAGAGAAATTCACGAGTGGATCAGTTTGGATCTATCTAGCGATGATTGTGTGGGCAGATAAAACAATCGGATCGATATTTCTTTCTTGATTAGTTCTAATTTGTTAGAGTGATCTATTTTCAGGGTGAGACACCGCCATTGCATGCACCTCCGCCACGACCAGGTGAGACCCCCCGCCGACACACCACTGAAGTACCATCGCCTTCTAGTGGCACACCGACCTTTAATTTGGGTTACGACGAACTCCCTTCATATTCCCGTGAGTCCTTGTCGTTTCTAGTCTTCCATTAAAAGTTTCATCTTTTTTCACAAACCCCTCCTGAACTTGTAGTTATGCATAGCACACAGATCTTTTTAATTATCATTTACTTTAATCTGCAACTTGTTCATTCTGGATGAGTTCTTTAATATTTGATTAAAGGATATTTTCGTTTCCGACAGTTTCATCTGAAATCTCGAATAATTTTTCATGAATTTGTAATCGCCGATATTATCAGTATTCAATTTCAGCGTATTGTTTTCCTTCGCATCTCATTAGACTTTTTTGAAGCCCTTCTTCATTCTTCCCACGCAAATTCTTCGTAGAATTTAGTTGGAGACGTTTGAAAACTCGTGAAATTACCTCAGTACTTTGCATAGGAGATTACACCACCTTGATCGTTCAATAATTCATTTGTATTAAATTAGTCATACACGTTCACTTGCCGTGTCTTCCTAATTTTCCATTAAATTTTGCATTGCTCGTTATTTTTTGCCGTCGTCGGTGTTCAGTGACGATGAGTGCTCCATGTGTTACTCTCTTATTGCCGACCTCAACAATTTTCCGTGCATTCGGCTCTAAATTTTGCTAATTGTAAGTATCCCTCTTGCCATCGGTCTCGAAAACATGGGAAGAAATTGAATTCATTGTATTGTCGGTGAAGGTCACCGTGTCTTAGGTTTTGTGGCGCCCGGCTGCTTCTAATTTGAATGTTCTGAAAGTGTGTTGAATTTGTAAACTAGAAGCATAAACGACCAACTTCTTTGGGCATGCTTGGTTTCTAGAGCATAAGGTTTGCTTATAGTGATTTAGAATGTGATGTTGTTTTTATGAGTATTGTTGTAATCCATTTTGTTGAGTCGCTTATTTGCTGCTGGAAACGTTTCTGTGTCAACGCCCTCTGGTCAACTTTTCCTAATGCGTTCAAACTTTTGTGATCATCACCATTGTGTTGTTTATTGTCATATTATATGCAGTTTATTCACCTGCTCAAGTGTAGGTTTCGTGAATTGTTTCAGTTCAGTTGGGTACTGTTCTTAGTTAATGCAAACTGTCACATCTATTACGCGAACCTATTGTGCAAAAAGTCAGTCACTTTCAGCTGCAGACCTTCAAGCTACCACACTGTTCGTTCCCGATATAAATTCGTTACCCCGTAAGATGACTCCTCCACAAACGGTTACTTTGCAACAGTACGCCTCATTGCCACGCAACACTAAAGGTTTCGTGCCGACCGTCTACCCACGTCAGTCCACTTTGACTGCGTGTGGATCATCGTCGTCAATATCATCGGCACCTGTCGTCGTAAGATCCACCCTAAGTGCACAACTGCAGCAGCCACAGTCTGCTGGTACTGCAGATACACCACCTGTGCCCGCTCAACGTAGATCAAAGAGTGTTTCATCGAGACAATCCGTCTACGAGTCCGTCTATGACGAAGAACAGACTCAAGAAGCTGAGAACGTCATTCACACGCATCAACAACAGCAAGTTATAGTTGGTGAGATATAGATACTGTATTCATGATTGTGGACCAGTCCATGTATTTGTTGTGTATGTGTGTGTCGTTGTCTCACTTCAAACCAGCATTCCGATTCGATCACTCTCAATCCGAAGCATACCGCAACTGAAGCACCATATGCACTAGTAGTGCTCGTTATTCTCAATGGATACTACAAATCAACTTCGTTGTTCCTGTGGATATTTTAAAACACTAATCTAACCCTTTCCTATCCTACTGTGTGTTTTATCTAATCATGTCCTTTATTTATCCGTCGATTCATCTGTTAATATTGCCGTTCATCATGTACTAATTACCGTCACATTTCATTTGTAATCGCATGCTATTATTCGATAACGTTGTTTTCACATGATGTTACCAATACTATGGCCAGTTAGAGCAGGCAGGATAAGTTTC